TGTCTTTTGGAATGTTCATTGACAGTGTTTAGAACGTTCATTGACAGTTAAATAAGAGAAATACATTGTTTCTACTGTCTCCGGCTGCTTTAAAAAGGAGTAAAAGTAACTGAAAATTGAAACTAATTTGAAACTAACTTTGGATTGTTTAAAAGAGGATACTATTGACTATTACAAATAGAAACTGTTTCCCCCTAGTGGAAGCCTTTGAAACCGGTTGCTTTACAAGAGCTGGACTAGGGAATTTCCAGCTGCAAGTTAAAAACCGTGAGACTCTGGGACTGACCTTGAATCTTTTAAGTGTTATGGTAAATGGAAGAGGAAAAACAGACCAGTCAACTGCTGACAAAACATTAAGGTCTGGGAGGACTTGGTAACAATCCAGGAGAGGTCTATCATTAGGCCCTCCTGCTCCTTCTGTTGCTGTCTTTGTACTAGTATACTTAAAACCAAGAGGAATGTCGACAGAAGAGGCTTTAGTGGCTGCATTATATAAGATAAATGACTCATTGGATCAGCTTCACAGGAAAATGGACATGATAAATGCGAAAGTGGATGTTTCAATTACCAAAACTAACTTAAATACAGAAAGTATAAATAATACCAATACAGAAACCACCCAGAAATTGATACAAGAACCTATTTTGATATGGCACACTGTGGAGGAAGTCAGGGAAAAAGCTGTTGCTGCTGAAGGTAAAGTAACACAACTGGAGAGAAAGAAAAAGAGAGCCCCAGTCCTACAGAGGCAATTGGATGAACATAAGTTGACGCTTGCTATGACTGAACTTAAAGAAAAACAGACGAATTTGAGGATTAGAGTTCACCTTTGGTGGACATGCCCAAGGATTAAGACACTCTGGGAGATGATTCATAACGAAATGAAAAAGGTATTTAAATATACTCTTTCGAAGAAACCAGAGGCCTTTCTCCTGGGCATGGTTGGCGAATTGGTGTTAAAGAAGGATAGAATTTGTTTCATGTATGCAACAATAGCAGCAAGAATACTCATTGTGAAGTACTGGAAGACACAAGATTTATCCATTCGGGAAGAATGGCAGATGAAGTTGATGGACTATATGGAATTGGCGGAAACGACTGGCAGAAATCCGAGACCAGGGAGAGGAGTTGGTGGAAGAAGACTGGAAAAAGTTTAAGACTATTTATAGAAATACTGTAAAAATAATGAATGTTAGAAAAATGTTGGAATGAAGTTATATGGCTTTAGTAGAAATGCTATAAGGAATCAAGTATAAATAGATTAACAGTGTACTAAGGGGAAAATAAGGCTAGAATATGTTAAGATAATTATAGGATAGAAAACAGAGGAAGATGGAAAGGAATTGCTGAAATAATTAATAGAAGTGGAAAACAAAAAGGGAGGTGTGAGGAGGTCGTGGAAATAAGGGAATGAAAGATAAGACATTGAAATTGTTTTGTGTTTGAAATGGTTTGTGTCTTGCTTTGTTAGTTTCATGTTTTTCTTTTTTTGTTCTTTCTTTTTTTTGTCTTTCTGTTTTCTTGTGTTTAAACGGTTGAAAATTAATAAATATTATTAAAAAAAAAAAAAGATTTCCTTCAGAATGGATAGGTTTGATCTTCTTTAAGTAATGCCCTGCCTAGAGTGGTGATATTGAACTTCTTTCAACTTGCCTCCGTGCCTGCGAGCCCCTAGAACAGTGGTTTTCAACCAGTGTGCCCTGGCACCCTGGGGTGCCTTGAATGATGGTTAGGGGTAACACGGGCAACACTGGTCTCTATCCCTCTTTCCTTCCCTCCCTCCTCTGATACCCTCTCACATTTCTGCCTCCCAAAGGCCTGCACAGCTGTTTGTTGCAGCAGCTCTGGCTACAAGCTTCCCAAGTGAATGGTGCCTCTGGGGCTGGCCAGGGGGTGCTTCCCAGGCCCCTGTGGGGCAGTGTGAGGAGGCACCTCTCTTTAGGACAGGAGTGGGGTAGCTCAGGGACCAGGGGTGGCACCTGCGGCCACCCAGAGGACTTGCAAGGAGAGGGGAGAAGAGAGGAGGCTGAGGGGACACTCCCCAAGGGAGGGTGTTTGAACCACAGAGCCTAGGACTTGCCGATCAGAAGGTTGGCGGTTCGAATCCCCGTGACGGGGTGAGCTCCCATTGCTCGGTCCCTGCTCCTGCCAACCTAGCAGTTCGAAAACACGTCAAAGTGCAAGTAGATAAATAGGTATTGCTCCTGCAGGAAGGTAAACGGCGTTTCCGTGCGCTGCTCTGGTTCGCCAGAGGTGGCTTAGTCATGCTTGCCACATGACCCGGAAGCTGTACGTCGGCTCCCTCGGCCAATAAAGCGAGATGAGCGCTGCAACCCCAGAGTCGGTCACGACTGGACCTAATGGTCAGGGGTCCCTTTACCTTTACCTTTACCTTTAAGCCTCCAGAATCCTTTGCAAGACACACGGGTTCCCTGGGCATGTTCAGCAGGCAAGGTAGTGCAGAGAAGAATTCCCCCCAAGGCAGAAAATGTGAAAACTACATCTGTTTTCAATGAAGCCCACCCCCCCATGAGACATTGCACCAGGTGCTCTCAGTGCTTATGTAAGAATGAAAGCACTTGAGCATTCCTGTGGATGAATGGCGGCTGTGTGTGGGGCAACCACGGGAGAAACAACCACAATGACTAACAATCTGTGTGCCGAGGAGGAAAAAAGAAGACTTTTGCAGCAGAAACTCACCATGATACCTGGATGGAGAGTCATTCATATGTGGGGAGGATCTGCGCAGGCATGCCTGCCTTGCTTTGAGCATATGGGGGGAGAAGAGAGCCAAATGTTACCACACACCTAGCGATTTTGCTGCTGTCAACTGAAAGCTGGCGATGCTGACAGAAGAAGGAATCCCCTTGCATTTCCTAGTAGCGATTTGGTGTGTTTCAGCGCCTCCCCTTGCCCCTTGCAAATTGGCATCTTTCAGAAGAGAGCGGATAGGGAGCTTCAACTATAAGGGCGAAATGGCAAATCTCCCCCTCTCCCCCTTCTCTTCCATTGGTAGAGGCATCTGCCATATCAAAAACCAGCCTTCAGTTTACTTTTGAAAACATTTTTAAAAGGTAACCTCCAATATTCCTTTAGGCAGTGCTTTTATGGGTGATTGTTGTTGTTTTTTAAATGAATTGCCAGTATTCATATATTGATAAATGTGCTGTGAGCGCCAGAACAAAATGGCTGCCATGGACAGCAAAAAGGGAGGTGCTGATACTCCATAGCAGTGCTTTGTTACTGGCAACTGTTTGTGTCGAAAGAAAACTGAGTGTGCCTCCTAGGGTGAAGTCAAACCACTTCGTTAGCAGCACCGAAGTGTCCTCCCCGGGGTGCAAGCCTGGGCAGTGTGCATGAGGGTCCTGGGCTGCCCCAATGACAAAATCCCCCCTCCAATCTCGGCCTTGCTAATGTGGTCCAAAGGAAAGCAGAACAATATGTTTGGCACCAACTTGGCTGCAGGAGTTGAGGGAAGGAGGCGTACAAGGCGCCATCCAAACATCTCCACTCCAGATTGGTGTAGGGTTTACTCCTCTGACATTCTCAGAGCAGCTAACAATCTGCTGATACACTGGCACACCCCCCCTCAATTTATCTATCAATATACACACTTACACAGTCCTCTCCTCACTCTGTGTGTAAAAAGGTAAAAGGTAAAGGTAAAGGACCCCAGTCAAAGGCGACTATGGGATTGTGGCACTCATCTCGCTTTCAGGCCGAGGGAGCCAGCCTTCATCCACAGACAGGTTTCCAGGTCATGTGGTCAGCATGACTAAACCGCTTCTGGTGCAACGGGACACTGTGACAGAAACCAGAGCACACGGAAACGCCGTTTACCTTCCTGCTGCAGCGGTATCTATCTACTCGCACTAGTGTGCTTTCGAACTGCTAGGTTGGCAGGAGTTGGGACAGAGCAACGGGAGCTCACCCCATCTCGGGGATTCAAACCGCTGACCTTCTGATCGGCAAGCCCAAGAGGCTCAGTGGTTTAGACCACAGCCTCCTGGGTCCCCTCATTCTGTGTGTACATGTATCGTGATTGGGCTGCCCCCAAAGCGCTCCCTCCAAAGCGCTTCCTCCCTTTTATTCAAATTCCCATTCCAGAGCAAAACAAAACCTTAAGAAGCTCAACCAACCACAAAGGTTCTCCTTGACACTCCGGACACAAGCAAAGCTGCTGTATCCAGAGCCAAGCAGCTAGAGAGCGGGTGCCACATACATATCCCCCCCCCCCATTTAAGGGGATGACAGAAGACAAGATGGCTGAACAGTGTTCTCGAAGCTACCAGCATGAGTTTGACTAAACTGCGGGAGGCAGTGGAAGACAGGAGTGCCTGGCATGCGCTGGTCCATGGGGTCACAAAGAGTCGGACATGACTAAACGACTAAACAACAACAATAAAAATTTGTGCTATGACATCATGCCTGCATCATACTTTCATTTTGGCGTTTTAACTTTCAGGCTGTAATTGCTGTGCCCTGGGTTCCACAAAAACAGCATCAACAAGAAGGGAGTGGCTTATGTCACAAAGAAGCAACTTCAGTTTGTCACACTGCCATGGCGCCATTAGGGCATCAGAGGTGGTAGTAAAAGAAAACACACACACACACACCCCAAACAGAACATTTCTTGTATAAAAGTTTTGGCATACAGTCGTATCTTGGAAGTCAAATGGAATCCGTTCTGGAAGTCAGTCTGGCTTCCAAAATGGTTGAAAACCAAAGTGTGGCTTCTGACTGGCTGCAGGAAATTCCTGCAGCCAATCAGAAGCCGGGAAGCCCTGTCAGACGTTCGGCTCCCAAAATAATGTTCGAAAACCAGAACAGTCACTTCCAGGTTTTGATCATTTGGGAGGCAAAACATTCGAGAACTAGGCTGTTTGACTTCCAAGGTACGACTGTGTTTGCTGGAAGCTACAGACCATGCACAGATGTCCCAGGAAGGTACAAACCAATTTCAATGCAGGAACCCTGGGAGCATCAAGAGTGCAAATCAGCTGGACGACACATGAGAGGGGCTGCCTGGAGGGGCCCAAAGACTAGATCAGTTTTCTGCAGCTTTCCCCAGTCTTAGGGAGGAACCAGACTTGTACAAGACGGCAATTGTGCTTGGGGCTTTGAAATACCTTGCGGGATGACTTCTCTCCTCAGGGCAGTTTCTTTCCAAATGAGGAATAAGAAAGGGAAGAGGAAGCAAAGGTATGCATGTGTATTAACATAAGCTAAGGGAAGGGCAAAGATTGCAGAAGGAAGGGACAGTTACGCACACATCTTGCAAGTTCCTCTGTTCTCTACGCTTCCGATCCTCGCCTGAAGGGACAAGTGAAGGTCATGGGTGGCTATAACGTAACAGGAGCCTGCCTCCTGTTGAATCAGACCCCTGGTCTATCTGGACCATCTCCTCTGATAACCAGACCCCTGGTCCACCTCGCTCTGCATTTTCAACAGAGTCTCCAGTTTCAGGAAGAAGAGGGGAGCTTTCCCAGTGCTTCTTATGAGAATCAGTGTGGTGTAGTGGTTAAGAGCGGTAGTCTCGTAATCTGGGGAACCGTGTTCGCTTCCCCGCTCCTCCACATGCAGCTGCTGGGTGACCTTGGGCCAGTCACACTTCTCTGAAGTCTCTCAGCCCCACTCACCTCACAGAGTGTTTGTTGTGGGGGAGGAAGGGAAAGGAGAATGTTAGCGGCTTTGAGACTCCTGAAGGGGAGTGAAAGGCGGGATATCAAATCCAAACTCTTCTTCTTCTTCTACAGGGAGATGGCCAGGAACTGAACCTGGGAACTTTTGCAGGCAAATTTCCTGCTCTAGCCCTGAAGGGCCAGCCCTTCCCCTCTTTCCTCACTGATTTCATACAAGCTGTTTTCTCAAGACGCAATTCATTCATTCATTCATTCTCTCAGTGATTGCAGAGTATCCCAATGATGCAACTTCCAAAACCACGGCACCGCTTTCGCCTTCCTTTCTAAATACTTGGATTGCTGTGATTTTCTCTGACTTCAAATGTAATTGCAGCTGCCAGCCTGCCCAGTGCAGACTTGCAAAGCACTTTCAGAGCAGCGCACAATTCTAGGATGTTGGTCGTGTAATAGGTGAAGTCCTGCTTTTTTCTGTGCAGTTTCCTGGGTTCATTACCATGTAACGCTACGCAACCCATAACTCCATTTTGCCTTCCGCTCCTCCTTTGTGATCTCATCTCCTTTTAAAAGTGCATGTGCGATTAATACTTTTAAAATTCATTTCCCCTACACCCCCAAGCACAAGCGTGCTGATGAAAATTAAACTTCTTAAAATGGATGAACGAACAGCAGAGGGTTCTATGGCTGCAGAGAAGAAACGACTGAATAATTTGAGGTCTGTTTTGGCAACAGCTGTGGATGAGAAAGAAAGGAAACTGAATTAAACGGCAGGTTTCTGGAAGGTCAGGGAGTCTGGAAGGGTAAACTACAATTCCCAGGATTCTTTGGGGGAAACAATGTGCTTTAAATGTATGGTGTATATTCAGCCAAGTATCATGTGGAAGCACAGTTTCATTTATACTAACAGCAAAGAGAGGAATGGCAGTGCCTCAGAAATGCTATAGGGCTGCAGGTCCCTTCTAGACTGCAACTGTATTGAATCACTCATATACCAGAAAAATTGGCTTGCACACTTAAAATGAATTTGGCACTCTTGCACAACAAACCTACTTCCAACTTAGCACTCCCAACTGCCCACACAGAAATTTTGTGCTAAGAAAAGCGATGGGAAAATGCAAAGGGAAGTATGTGATCACGGGATGCTATTCATTCATTTCCACCCACGAACCCCATTACTTTATAAAAACATATTGAAAGGATTTAACAATAAAAACATCAGCAACAAAAAAAATTCCATATATTAAAAAAGTTTCAGATCGAATACAGATACAGAGGTTAAAATAAAAATATCCAAAACAAAATTATCTCCAAAAAAACCCCAAACAGTGACCTCATATCAATCTCCATGCATTTTTGATTACTATTATTATTGCAAACAGATTGGGACAAATGCTTAATAAACAGATTCTCTGCAAAGGCCCAGACAGTCTGGGAGAGAACCAAAGCCTCAGGCAGAAGTTTGCCCCAGCCTCTTTATCTTAACAATAACATTTGTACTGTGCTTTCAAGTGTTCAGAGCTCTTCATATGCACCCTGTTTGTAATCCTGACAACACGCCTAGAAGGTAAATCAACATTATTAACCCCCATCTGTAATAGGGCCAAGACAGTTTAGATTGCCTAAGGCCAGCTAGTGAGACAAGGGAGTGAGATTCAAAGTGGAGACTTCCAGATACATAGCTCAGTCTCTTAACCAAGATTTATGACCCATCTTTGCATAACAAAGGTTTCCCCAAGGCGAGTAACAAGAATGCAAGGGAGAATATTGTGGGTGTGGCCAGATGCTGTCTTCAATAAGATATAATTCTCAGGAATTCTCAGGCTGATATGGTATGTATGCAACATTCATTTAAAGCAACCTCCCCAACAAGAATCCTGGGAACTGTTATTTGCGAAGGGTGCTGGGAACTGTAGTTCTGTGAGGGGTTAAACTACAGTTCCCAAGATACTTTTCAGGGGAAGGAATGTGCAGCACCTGTAACAGTGCCAGTTCCTCAGACCAAAGAGGTCTAGTGCGGATATATTGGCCAAGGCAATCTTGAGAATCCAATTAATATTGATTTGAAAGAACAACAAGTGTTCTGATCGCAAAGCAATGAGGTTGGAAGCCCTGTCAAAGTTTTATTAGGCTATTCATCTGATTACACTGTAACATAATAAGATAGTGATTATACTGTGTATTGCCATAATACCTGCAGAAAGTATCAAAATCTATCACCAGGAGCAGTGTAAACGCGATCATAGGTGACATAAAAATTGACTATGAACTGTCATGCTGTTGGTTCTCTAGTTAATATCAGATGGATTTAGATGCACCTGGTAAGTCAATAACCAGTACCCAAACCTCAAGAGAGCTTCTATGTTTTTCTTCCCTCCTGAGATTTGTTTTATACTTCCTGCTTATGCATTAAACTTTCATCAGCTTCCCCTTGGATTGCAACAAGGTGTATCTGGGCAATAGGCTGCTACCCTTGAGGAAACACTTAGTTCAGAGTGCAGCCCAGATACACCTCCGGATCAGTTTCGTTGCATGATCCAAGCCTCTTTCATTTTAATTTGAGGCACACCTTCTGCCTGTCACCCCTCAGAGTAGCATTGTTGGCGTGAGAAATCATGCTTTCACTAGTTTGTTAGACAGCAGGTAGGGGAAAAAGCAAAATGAACCTGCCTGTCCTTTACATTCATGATTTGATGCCTTGCTCCACCTGATGCCACCAGTAGAAGCATAGCAGAGGAAGATGTGGTGCAGAGCCTTTTTGGTGGTGGCACCCCAACTCTGGAACATCTTCCCTTTTAATGAAGGATTTCAGGCAGGGACGTACAACTTTCTTATTCTGCCTGAATTTCGAAAGGCTTCAATACCCATTCCTGTGCACTGCAACACTATTTATTTATTTTTTTAAATAAAGCAATACAAAATGATAAAAACCAAAACAATCCCATCTTCTTTCTTTAAGAACATGGCAAACTCACACAAAACCAGACTGACTGTCCATTTAGTCCTGTATTGCACATCTTAGAGGTTGGGAACCTTAGTGTCATGGACTGGCTGGGTGCTGAGGAGTGGTGGGAGTTACCAACTGGGGAATCCCCAAGGGAAGGAGGCTCAGAGCCTGGGGATTGGTGGTGGGATGCTGGCGAGTGGTCAGAGGGAGAAGAAGGAGCAGACTGGGAGAAGCAGATGTCGGAAGTTGGAGAGGCAACAGGGTTTAGTGAGCAGGAAGAGGCTGTGGCAGAGGGCAGTCCAGAATCAGAGGCTGGAGAGAAGGGTCAAGAGGCAGAGATGAGGTGGGCTCCCTGAGAAGCTAGGGGGTCTCTCTGTCCTGTTGTGACCAGCTCCCCTCCCTCTGGTCTCCCAGAACCCACAGAAGTATGAAGAGGACGGAGCAGAGGCAGACAAGGCAAAGAAGTCTCAGGTTGCTTAGGAAGGACCTGGGGGCGTGGGGAGTCTTAGTCCTCGCAACTGCCTCATTGGGGCAAGATCCACTGGGAAGACGTGCTGTGCTCACTAGGCCTGAGCTGCTTTGTTTTCTCTGAATACAGTGGTACCTCGGGTTACATACGCTTCAGGCTACATACGCTTCAGGTTACAGACTCTGCTAACCCAAAAATATTACCTCAGGTTAAGAACTTTGCTTCAGGATGAGAACAGAAATCGTGCTCTGGCAGCGCGGTGGCAGCAGGAGGCCCCATTAGCTAAAGTGGTGCTTCAGGTTAAGAAGTTTCAGGTTAAGAATGGACCTCCGGAACGAATTATGTACTTAACCCGAGGTACCACTGTAGTTAGGGGACGCGGGTGGCGCTGTGGGTAAAACCTCAGCGCCTAGGGCTTGCCGATCGCATGGTTGGCGGTTCGAATCCCCGAAGCGGGGTGAGCTCCCGTCTTTCGGTCCCAGCTCCTGCCCACCTAGCAGTTCGAAAGCACTCTTAAGTGCAAGTAGATAAATAGGTACCGCTTTATAGCGGGAAGGTAAACGGCATTTCCGTGAGCTGCGCTGGTGCTGGCTCGCCAGAGCAGCTTCGTCACGCTGGCCACGTGACCCGGAAGTGTCTCTGGACAGCGCTGGCCCCCGGCCCCTTAAGTGAGATGGGCGCACAACCCTAGATTCGGACACGACTGGCCCGTACGGGCAGGGGTACCTTTACCTTTACCACTGTAGTTAACTTCCCTGACCCCTTGTGCGTTATTGCTGACCTGTTCCCAACTCCTACAGCCCTTCCACACCTCTCTATCAGGTCCTTCACAAGCTCCTCCTCTCAATGGCCCTGCTCTCCACCCTCCTGGATGGCTTTTACCAGACTGGAACGTGTCCTTGAACTGCGATAATCCCTCTTGCTTGCCTGCATAGGAGACGGAGAGATGCGTGGGCTGTATGTCTGTATGCAGAAACCTCAAACTGTTACTGTTCAAAGTCAAGAGTCGCACCTGTTCCTCTGTGTACTTTAGCCCCTGCATGCCGCTGACATGTGCCCCTTACTGAAAGGTTTCCCATAATGCAAACCTTGAGCTAAACAATGATCCCCCCTCCCCCGGGCTGTGTACAAACACTATACTTTTAATGCACTTTCAAAGTGCATGCTCTCCTTCCCAGAATTCTGGGCACTGCTGTCTGTTAAGTGTTGCTGGGAATTGACTCTTGAGAGTAAACGACAGTGCCCAGAATTATTTGTGGCAGATCAGCTCCCTTGCATATATGGAGATCTTCCCTATCTTCTGATACCTGGTACCTTTAATTAGAAACCTGGTATGTGGCAATTGACCCCAATACTTTTTGCATGTAAATCACGTGCTTTACTGCTGAGCCACATCCCCATCCCTTCTGTGGTCCTGCCCTCTTGCAGGCCACAGAGTACAGGTGGCATTTCATTCAAACCTTCCTGCCTATAACCAATCAGAGCTCCAGAGGCCTGCTTTATACTGCAGGAGTTTCTGTTTCTCCAGATGCAGAGAGGTGGTTTTGCAATCTAAACAGGTTCCTCCCTCTCTCCGGCTCAGAGAGCTGTTATCTCAGAGAACACTTCAGCCAGTGCTGCCACAAAGGCAGATAAGAATGTTTTATGGCCCTTTAGCCTTACAAGAAATCATAAGCGAAAACAAGACTGATGGGCAGCGCAGAGGGGTGATCAAGCGCTGTGTCATTGTGCAAAGTGGGGAGGCCAGAACAATTACGAGCTCCTGTTACCAGAACTGGGAATGCTGCTTTCGATCTCCAAGCAAAAGGAAAAGAAGGCTGCTTCCCTTTGCTCGGTGCTAGCCTTGCCAACTGTAAATGTAAAACCACCAGCAGGAACAGGACCATACGAATATTAATTCGTTTCCTTATGCAAACCTCAAGGGGACTCAATGTACAGATTGCCCTCGACGGATCGCCCTTTCCAAAAAGCCCTTGCAATCTGAGCAAAAGGTTTCTGCATTTAAAACACATGGCTCCCCTACCCAAAAGCATTCCGGGAACTATAGTTTCTAAAGGCTACTGGGAACTGTAGCTCTGTTGCTACACTGTACCTGTAAAGGGCATTCAAACCACTTTCTTGCCCTCAAAAGAATTCTGGGCATTGTAGTTTCCCCCTCACAGAGTTACAGTTTCCAGCAGCCCTTAACGAACTACAGGGCCCAGAATTCTTTGGGGTGGGGAATGTGCTTTAAAGGTAGAGTGGGTTGCACAGCCTGTGATGGGCAAATGACAATTTCCAAGCATGTATTATGTGGATGTGACTACAAGAACATCTGACTCCTAACCATACCGACTCAGAAGTAAGTCCCATTGAGTTTAATGAGACTTCCAGGTATATGCACACAAGACTGCAACTTGATTACTGCAATACTGAAGACCCACAAATCCAATCAGGGAGGGGCAATTAATCCTTTCACTCATATTATTTTTCCACTGCATCTCTCCTCCACCTCCCAAGTGGCTATTTGCCTTGTAAGGGGAAATATTCACTTGTGGGGCAAATAGCAACTTCACAGGGGAGGTTTTGCTGGGAAGTTGGCTGACCTCCCAGCAGCCAGATTCCAACTGAGATCCACCCCCACACCCGCTGCATTTACCACTAAATATGGCAAGAGATCCAACCACAAATCTCTACCTATTACTGGTTCACTTTAAAGCCATGAAGCCACTGGGTGACTTTGGGCCAGTCACTGCCTCTCAGCCTAGTCTTCCTTCACTCTGGCCTTGCCAACAGCATCCCACCAGGCCTCCCCTGCCACTTCAAGATTGGGGGGAGGCTGAGCCCCGCTCCAGTGGACATTAGAGTGGGGGCTGTAGAGGCCTCACCCCCATGGAGTTGGCGTGCCTACCCAGAAAGCAATGTGGCTTTCAGGCTGGAAAGGTTTTCCTGCCCTCACTCTGAAATCTGAAAGAAAAACCTTCAGGCCGTCTCCTTGGCGAAGGTGTTGCTAGGTCAAGGTGTAGGCCTCTGACACAGGTTTACCTATATGTATACGTAGGTGCCTCTGGGAAATCAAGATGTTTTAGCTGAGATCTCAACAGCACTGCACTTCACAGGGTGCTGAGCTATCTGTTGCAAACAGCTGCTCTCTCGCTTTCAGTTTTACACACATAGAGAGACGCCTACCAATCATTCTGGACTAGGAGAAAGAGCTCTTCTCATCCAAAAAAGGAAGGCTATGTCCAGTTACTGTAACCATGTGTTGATGTGGCATGATACTGCAAATTTCCCCCCCGTTTTCCCGTCGACCAGCCCCAAATCCCACTGCTAATGCAACTCAGGGAATTGCTCGCCCCCTCTCTCTGGCAAACAATATTTTTTTATTTAGACAAGATTTTTATTTAGTTTAAAGTGGTTTTAGGACACTCTTCTGGGCAAATGCTCATCCAAAGCTGTATACGTTACAAAAGAAAAAACAAAACCAGCAACACAAAAATACAAAACTGCCACTCCACAATAGCTATCCCTCATCCAGACTAGAGAGAGGTATTACGAGAGCTGAAGTACACATTGCAGCCAGGTAAGTACCTTCAGAGTCTGGCCTGAGGAGAGTAAAGGAGGCTGGATTTTGGTCTCTGAACCTGAGATTTCCCACACCTGTTGTGGAGCATTTCTCCTCTCATAAACACACTCCCATTACCACCTTTCGGGAGGGCGGGTTATATCGATTGGCTCACGTCACACTTCTGACTCTGCAGCAATATGAGATATTGGCTTATAAAACACCATCTCCTCATGAATCTTTCATTGGCTAGCGTGATCCAAGAAGCCGGCAGCAGCCATCACTCCACACTGGCTCTCTGCGATGATGCCACTGCAGAGACCTCCTTTATTGGATCAGAGCTATTAATCTGCTTACAACAATACACACCCGGAGAGCCTTATCAAATTCCCTCCTCCCAGGTACAGCCGGCTTACACAAGAGTCATGTGCTCCTTTGGTGAGGACATCGCGGCATTACTCTCCAGTGTAGTAAACTGAAATCATTTCCAATTAAGCACATGACTTGCAATTCCAAGATGAAACACTGTCATCCCCGCTTACGGCATGCTAACCCTTTTACAGAAAGGCTAGGCACAGAAAAACAAGGAGGTTCTAAGAATTAACATTTCCAGTTAATTCCCAAGTAAAATATAAAGTAGGATTTATCAGAAGTGGGAAGGGGGAAGAGAATACCAAGGTGAAAATCCAGAGAGCTGGATTGCAAACAATGCTGGTGTTTTCCTTATGAAACTCAATTTATATGGTCTTTCACCCTGGGACTGGCTTTGACTGGCTGGCTAAACCAGGTGTGGGTAGCAAACAGGTCTCAAACCCGCGGTGAGTGATGGACTTCCCCTGAATGTGAAGATAGGCTCTGGTGGATGAGACCATCAGTGGTCAAAGGCAGCGTTTTCTGCACATGCTGTAGAGGGACTAGAGGGGCGAATGGGGCTCATCAACCTGGGAAGACAACCCATCTAGGAGAAAGAAAACTCTGATCCTAACCTTCTGCTGTCTTGAGACATATCTCTGGGAAAAGAAAACACTAAGGAGTAAACCCTACACAAATCCAGAGGGGAGTCCCTAAGATGGTTGGATGGTGCCTTGTTCAGCTCCTTCCAGCAACTCCTACAGGGAAGCTAGTGCCAAACATATTGCTCTGCTTTCCTTTGGACCACATCAGTGGGGCCAAGAGAAAGGTCTTGTCATCTGGGCAGCCCAGGACCTCCATACACACTGCCCAGGCTTGCACCCCAGAGAGGTCACATTGATGCTGCTAATGCAATGGCTTTACTTCATGCCTGTCATGCGAAACATGGGTGGGAGGGTGCTTCTGTGCCCATCTGCCTGCTTGCAGTCTGGTTGGCCGCTGTGAGAACAGGATGCCAGACTGGACGACTTTCTGCCCTAATATTTCTAAACCACATTTTCATTAAAATAACGGTTGGGAAAATGAAGTTCACGTTTCAAAGGCTTGCCTGAGTAACACATTTTTCAGGAGTCATCTAAAAAGCCAGCAGGGACGATTACTTCCAAGCTTCCAGTGGCAGGGAGTTCCACAGGGCAGGGCTTGGCTACACTAAAAGCTCAGCCCCTTGTAAAGGCTTGGTAAAAGCTTATTGCCTGTGGGGCAGTGCTTTATAACTGCCTTAAAAGTTAAGGCCAGCATTCCTGTCCCATGAAGCCTGCAAAGCAACTGTGGTTTTCTGTCACTCCTGAGTTTCTATTGCCGGTCATTGTCCGCTGATTGGAGCCTCATTACCTACAGCACAGCAGGGCATTGTGGGACAAGGGCGACAGAAAGGTGTTATAAAAGGCCTTTGTTGAAACCAGTGGTTTCACTTCCACTGGTTTATTAATAAGCTAATCACTGGTGTGTGGGTGGCGTGAGAAAGGGGAATTGGTTTTTGTTTAGGAAAGCAGGAATAACACGGTGCTGCTTTCAGTTTACACAGTGATCGACTTGCTATCTCCCAATCCAGCTCAAAATATTACAGGCAAACACTGGCTTTAGGGCAGCCTGGTGGATGAAACACAGCCTGTTAGGCCTAATGGGCCTTCTCATCTTTCCACAGCAAATAGCTGGAGGGTGTTAAACCCTGTTTATGGGCTGGTGGTGTAAATGAGTTTCCAGCAAGGATCAAATTACCACCCTGCATTTCTCAAATTTTCTTATGCCTTGTTTGAAACACCAGATATTATATCCCTAGGCAGGAAACAGCCCTTATCACAAGATGTTTAGGAAACAACAGAGGCATTTAACAGATTGCCATACATATCTTACGCCTGTTGATGCAGACTTTGCTAACCTGGTGCCCTCCATAAATTTTGGCCTACAATTCCCATCATCCCCAGCTGGCACAGTTGCTGGTCAGGGACGATGGGCGTGTGGAGTCCAGCAACCCTAATTAATATATCTATTAAGATCATGATACTAAGTATTAGGATATGGCTGTTTCAAGATGGAACAATGATAAGAAATCATGTTTACTTACTCAAGGGGGATCTAGGCTCCTTACTATACAGACATATCTGTTGTCATCAAGCAGGCCTGAATGTTTTCCTCCCACCTGCTGCCTTTCTCATGGGGGGAAAATCACAAGAGGAGGAGGATAGGTTTGGGGAGAAATCCCATGTCAGTGGGGTGAGACAGGCATTGTGTGAAAGGCGGTTTGTTTGGAAAGATGGGTGCAAAAGAAATAGGATATGGGGAGTTTGCTTTATCTGCAGAAGATACAAGCTCAACCCCCAACACCTCTAATTGTAGATAAAAGGATTAAAGCATAGGTGATGGGAAAGACCTCTACCTGAGACCCTGTTTTTGCTGGTCTTAGAAGACAATGTTGAGACAGATGGTGTCAAGCAGCGATGTTCAGCTGAGAGCGGAAGTCAAGCTGTTAAGCCAAAGGCTGCATGGGAAAGTTGGCTGCCCAACCTCAATAGCCTTCTGCCCCCAGACAGCAGGAACAAGAGAACTCCAAATAAGGTGGTGGCTCCATTCATGCCTTGTTGCCAGGATTTGGCTTGCACCCTAAGTTACAAGTCAAACTTATACTGTTTGCAATTTCTTTCTTTTTTTTAAGGCAACCCATGAAATTCAAGTTTGTATTGGCTTCCCCACCACCATCAATAGGGAGTTTTTCAGGGTTCTCGTTGTTTTCTTTAAAGGGATGGGACCAAGAGAGAGAAGGGGGTAGATCTGAGGTGGAAAAGGAAGGGACAGGACAAGGGATCCACAGATACCCTATACCCAAGGTTTCCCAGGAAAATATTCCCTGCCTGAAAGCCCGGAGAGCTGCTGCCAGCCAGTGTGGACATTCCTGGGCTAGATGGACCAGTGGTCTGACTCAGTAGATTAGCAAACACAGTAGAACCAGTCATTTGCATCCCTGGCTGGAAACTGGTTGTTCAGCAAATCATATATGCTTTTACTAAGCCAGGGAATTTATGCGGGACAGACTCCCTCGGGAGGTTGTGGACTCTCCTTCATTGGAGGTTTTTAAGCAGAGGTTGAATAGCCATCTGTCGCGGATGTTTTGACCGAGATTCCTGCAGGGGGTCGGAATAGATGACTCTTGGGATTCCCTTCCAACTCTACAATTCTATTATGCTGATTCCTAGGAAACTGATTATATACTTCCTGAGAACGCAAGTCCATGAGTACGTGAGTCCAAATCTTAATAGAACTTGTCTGGCATGTCATAAAGTGTCCTTCTCCCCCCCCCAAAAAAATATAAAACATAAAGGAAGTTGTAAATGGGGGGAATGCTTAAAAACCAGCTTTTATTTGCCTTGGTCAGGAAAGGGCGAATTGCCAAGAGGCCATGTCAGATTTTATAAAGGTCAAATACTTGCTCTGTTTTACATGGAAACTTGGTTGCCTCACCTCAAAAGGAGCTGGAAAAGGTTCAGAAATTGGCAACCAAATGATGAAAGAGCTGGAGCAACACTCCTATGAATAATGGTTATAGTGTTTGGGGCTTTTTAGTTTAGAAAAAAGACTAATAAGGAAGGGAGGATATAGATGGAGAAATTTGGTAGGAAGAAGGTTTTCTCCATCTCCCATAATAATACAACTGGGTGTTATCCCATTAAGCTGAACATTGGGAGATGGAGGAAGGATCAAGGAGTTAAAACTATGGGATTTGCTGCCACAAGACCAACTTGGATGGCTTTAAAGGGTTCAACAAATTCACGGAGGACAAGTCAACCTCTGCTGTTTCAATAGGATGATAAACCCTTTTAAGAACAACTTTGCTGGGAAAGCAGCATAGAAAATGAAATAAAATGAAATAAATTAATGAATGCCTATATAACTTTACCTCTGAGTACAAGTTGCTGGAGATCATGGGTGGGAGACTGCTGCTGCTGCATTCATGTTCTACTTCTGGGTTTCCCATAACCATCTGCCTGGCTACTGTAAGAACAGACTTGCTATAGAAATTACATTTTGTAATTAACATTCAGTGTATCAGGTTTCTGTTTTCATTGCTAATATGTAGTTGCCTAATGGTATCTTCCAAAAAAGATGTACATATGG